TTCACCGATCAGGAGGCGACGGTCTGCTGGGTCCATGTTGTTCGTTGCGTTCCTCACCGGTAGTGGTCGGGTCCTTCTGTCATGAGGTGGGGTTGAAGTGGTGAGGAGGTGGACGCTGAGACCCAGGTAAGATGAATAATGATGAAGAATTTATTGATGCAGCTCACAGTCCAACAGGCAGCACGGCGGAAGGTAGCACACAGCTAACACCGGTAGCAACTGGATATCGGACTGGATATACGAGCTTAGGCCGACGCAGGACTTCACAGTTCTACTGCCGTACGACACTCAGACAAACTTACAATAGACAGGGCTTTGACAAACTGAGACGCGTTAGACATAGACAAGGACCCGACGAGGAACACAGACAACTGGTGGGTTTAAATACACACGGGGTAATTAAGGAAACGAGACACACCTGGGGATCAATCAACGGGGAGGACAGGACAGAGACTCACAGGGAAACAGGAAAACATCGAAAACTCAAAACACACAGAAAACCACGGATCATGACACATGCATCTCAAAAATCTCACTTCCTGTTTCTGCTTGGACAGATGATCTCATATCCATCACCATCTTGGAGACATGATGTCTGTTCTAATGACCTAATGTCTTGGTCACCTCTGCTCTCCTTTCGTTTCCACTTTTCCCCTGATCTATCACCTACCATCTACCTCCAACACAACATCAGTGCCTTTAATTACAGTTACACATTCACCACATTTCAAGTTCAATGTCAAAATCACATTTATAACCTTTAAGTTTCTCTGATCTGATTTAGCATTCATTTATAATTTTATAATAACCATTACTTATTAGTTACTCTTATAATCATAATGTGAGTTATTACAGACATTTCTGAAAAGAAACCAAGAATAACCCATTATTCCAATCATTTGATACCATGTTACAGTTACTTCTTTCACCTGTAAGTACTTCCATAAGTTTAAGAGTAAGTGTAAATATTCTTATAATCAAACCAACATCAACCACCGGTTAAACCAATATTAATTGTTGGCCTAATCATAAGTCATCATTATTAATTTAAGTATTTTACTCTGGGTTTTATCCAATTACTCAAAATGTTTAGATTTTATTCTTTAAACCTTTAATGCCCTGAATGAGCAATCTGAACTATTTTTAATCACTGCAGGCTGGAAACTTCCTCTTTCTTCAGGAAACCTGCTCTTCCTGTTCCATGACTCTCTTTCTGTCTGATTATGATTTTTTATGATTAAATAGAAAAAAGTAGAATCTAAGCAAAGTTTGCAGGACACAATAACAACACACACAACCAGATTAATTTTATTACCATCTGACTCTACTGTTGGGTCTTGATGTCACCTGTGCAATTAGTTTTAAAGATAACTTTATTTATTGTTATTATTAAACTAAAATCTCCAGCATGGGGAAGTGGGATGAGCTCGACTTTTCTCAACAACATGTCTCAGCTTACAATGAAATGCGTTTACATAACAGTAATTAAACTTATGCAAACACTCAATTTCTCTTTACACAGTGATAGTGTCTTATAAAGTAAAGAATCTCAATTTGAATGTTTCATCTAAATGATGAAATGTACTTAGATCAGTGTATGACCGAGGTCAGACAGGCTAGGGAGGCTAGTGATAGCATGCTAGCTCCCGAAAAACAATCACCAGTTCCCACTTGACAAACTGTGATTGCTAGAATGTTTGGCTGAAACATTGGCACATCTGCAAGTTAAAAGGCACACAAGTGAATGATGCACAATAGGCGTTAGATAACGGCTTTGAAAACAGACCAGAAGCCTACCTGCATATCAGCATCTGACAGTGTCTCCTACCTAGGTTGTTATTCATCAGCCATATAAGCAGCAGCTGACAATCTAGGACGCTGACGTGCAGCTGTCATGTGACTAAAACTGCGCGAGTTTTAGTCACATAGGGTTAGTTTGTACTGAATAAATTAAGGAAAGGAGGATTTTTATTTTTAATTAAATCTTTAAATAAAATAAACTAAATCTAACAAAATGGAAAATAAAATAAATAAAACTGAATTTAACAAAAATGGAAAAAATTATCCTGGTTACAGACTGTTGGACGTTAAATTCATGAGCAGTAAATGTAAACCCGTTTGAAACTCCCTGCATCTGGCTGTTCAATCCGAGAGGCCGCTACAGTGAAAACTCAACGCAAGATACCAGATCTTTCTGCAGTGAAGCTGACACCATCCCATCTGGAACGAAGCTATCTCCTCTCGCACCAATGATCTCACACAGGCAAGATAAAGCATAAAGTTAAAACGGACAATCACAAGAAGAAGCTCACAGCATAACCGAATTGGCGTAATGTCAAGGATAGTTAAAAAGTCTTCTGTGAACCCAAAGCAGTTACAGAAAGCAAATAAAATGTCACTTCCAACAGAGAAAACAGAAAATCCTGTTGACATGCCGTCTAGTTCCAGAGAAAGAAAACTAACAAACACCACAGCAGAGATTGTCAAAAAGATGGAAGCCTGTGTTACAATCACAAAAGAAATCTGTGACCTCATAAACAATTGTATAGAGACTATTGATAAAGATTATAATAGTCATGTTGAGAAAGAAAGAGTAAGAGAAACATTAAACAAAGATGAATATGGATCCATCTTTGGTCACACTCAGACTGAAACCATAAACTCATCAAAGTCATCAGAGAGTTCAAGCAGACATTCCAGTTGTCGTGAAAACTGGCATAAAATGGTGAGATTTTTCCAGGTACACGCAGAAAACGGAGCATAAAGGCTTGAGAAATGACAGTAATCTTGCATATTGATTTAATGATGATTAAAAGATGAATGAAAATACATACACATATAATGGTTGGAATAATCTGTAATGTACGTTTGAAATGTGTATTCTGTATTCGTGATTTGAATAACAGTAACAATGTGATTGTTGTGTGATGATTATTAAGTGGTGTATAAGGATTATTGGTGATTAGAGACAGTAACAGCTTGAGTTATAGAACGGATAAATAATGGAAAATCATACTGAGAGTTATAAGTTGATACAATGACAAAATGTTTGTTTTATAATTGCAGAGTTATGTTGTATTAAAGAAATGGGATAACTGAAGATTTGAGATTGTGAGAAATGAAGGCAGGTTCTGTTCTTGGACTGTGTTGCAATTGGGCAGAGGCGCTGGGGAGGCTCACAAAAGGAAGTAAGTTACCAGATGGCCAGTGGAAAAAGGGAAGTACCGAACAGAGTTGCTGCGATGAGTCATGAGGGAGGTGACGGTTTGGAGACATTGGAACTTTCCGCAGACTCAGTGGAACGTTTTAGAAGTCACGTAGACTTCTCCAATATACAACTATGGGCAGAAAAGGTATAAATACCAGCAGACAAGAGAGGAAACTGTTCTTTGTCCGCGGCGCTGAAGGAGAGCCAACAAGAGGACGCAGATTGAAGACCAACAGAGGACCGCGCCCTGGGACCAAGGGGGAAGCTGAGACTTCACGCCGCTAAGAAGGGACAAGATCCATCTGCCCCCAGCCCTGGTTCCTGATTCGACCAATCCCTCTGCCTCAACCCAACGATCTCTACCCGACTGCAGCAGACTTGGAGAAAAGACAAAGGTCATGGATTGACGAAGATTCTGTGCGTTTGAAGGACAACGGACAGCTCTGCTTTGCTTCTATTCTGAAAGGGGACTTTGTTCCATCAGGACAAAAGACTCTCACCAAGGACATCTGAAGATTCTGCTGCCGAGATCAATTGCCATCTGGGTGTGAGTTGAACTGCCCCCAAAAGCCTTGCTTAATTAAACTAGTGACACAGGATAGGGATAGAAAGGAGAATAGGTTATGGTTGATCATAATTTGAATTTAATTTCTTATTGCAAATTTGTAATCTCTGAAAGTTAATCTGCTTGTCATTTATCCCTGCTAAAGCTTGCTTAATAAATTACATACTAAAAAATTCCATTGAAACTTGTGGACATTGAGATTAATTGAGTCGTTCAATCATTGTAGATTCCCCTGATTATAGTAAAATTAGCATACATGATTCTAGAGATGTGGTGGCTTCGTACTTTCCTTTGGTGAGTGTAAAAATAATGACCCTGGGACTTAAGACTAAGTCTTTAAATCTAATCTAGCCGGTAACAAGTGCACATTATTTTAAGGGGAAAAGCTACCGTTAACAGGAGTGGTTGTTGAAACTACGCAGCAGTGAGGGCTACTCTGTTGACTGTTTCTCAACTGAAAAGAGTCATAACTTCTGGAACTGAAGGTAGTTAGAGCTAGACGAGTTTTCTCCGCCACCAGTTTAAATAGATTATCTCTTATAAACCTATTTCTAGGGTAAGACCCAGGTTTTAGAGATTTTCCGGACCTGATAGAGAACTGGTCAGTAGTCAGTCGAGCCATTGGTGAGATAAGGGCGCAGCTGGCTATTGCGTAATAACGAACACAGTTCATCTAGTACTAATAACAGCAAGGCAGATGCACAAGCAGAGCTTGCTGCTAAAGTGGAGCAATCAAAGGCTACAAGGGAAATTCAAGCACAGCAAGTACAACTCCAAAAATTAGAAAATGAATGGAAACTTAAAGAGTCAAAAATGCTGTCAGAAATGAAGCAAAAGGAAGTGGAAATGCAACAACAGCTGGAACAAGAAAGAGCAAAACTGAAGCAGTTAAAAGAAGAAAAGGAAATAGCTGTAGCAGCGGCTCGTGTGAGAGCATATGAGGAATTTGAACACTGTGAAAACAATGTTGAAGAAATTGAAGATATTAATTACAGAACTAACCCTGTCTTCTCTAGAGATAAACCCTGCTTAAATCCAGATGCTGCATCACTCCAATCTTACCAATCATCTCCTAAGGTGATAATAAATCCAGAAACATCCAATCTAGCTGAAACATTCGCCAGCTCATTATGTATGTACTCATACCCAGTATGAGTCGCTTGCCAGTCCCTGAACCCACAGTATTTAGTGGAGATCCTTTGAGGTTTACTGATTGGAAGATGTAATTTATGACTCTTATTGACAGAAAGCCCATCTCAGCAAGTGAGAAGATGTTTTATCTCAGAAATTATCTTGCTGGAGAAGCACACAAAGCTGTTGAAGGTTTATTTTATCGAGACTCAAAAAGTGCATACATTGAAGCATGGAAAGTCTTACAAGACAGATATGGAAATGCGTTTATTATACAGAAAGCCTTCCTCGACAAGCTTGCAAGATGGCCAAAGATCAACGCAAATGACTCACTTGCGCTACGTGAGTTTTCTGACTTCCTCCAATGCTGCAAAGAAGCAATTCCACATGTCCAAGGGACTAGCTATCTTCAGTGACTGTGAAGAGAACCATAAAATGCTAAAAAAAAAAATTGCCTGAATGGATTGTTCGCAAGTGGAGTCAAATAGTTGTAGAGGAACTTGATGGATCAGGTGATTATCCAGATTTTAAATGCTTCACAGAGTTTTTGAGCAAAGACGCAAAAATAGCCTGTAATCCCATCGCCTCACCCCTGTTGGGGGGAAATTTAAAGTTTCCAGATGACAGAACCCCAAAAAGAGCCAAAACTTTCAACACAAATGCACAACAAAATGGTTCCAGTCATGGGAAACAAGATACAAATAGCTGTAAACCAAAATCACCTTACTATGTTTGTAAAAGTGAAGCCCAGGGCATCACCGGGTGTCCTACTTTCGCATCAAAAAGTGATGAAGACAAAAGGACATTCATACATGAAAAACGGCTCTGCTTTGGGTGCCTGAGAAAAGGTCATGTGACAAAGGATTGTAAGAGACGACACACATGTAATATATGCAGACGTCGTCATCCAACCTGCTTACATGAAGAGAGGATGGAAAGACCTGTGGAAACAACAACAAATAGCTCCACTTTCACAGAAGAACATGCTAGTCAAGAAACAAACAGAGTCGTGTCCCATACATCAACACAGCATGCTTCTGCCACCACCAGTATTGTACCAGTACTTGTGTCTTCATTACAAGAGCCGCACAAAGAAATACTAACATATGCAATGCTGGACACACAGAGTGACTCAACATTTGTGTTAGAAGATGTCATTGACAGACTGAATGTGGATTTCCATCCAACAAAGTTGAAACTCAGTACTATGACTGCTGTCGACACAATTATTTCCAGCAAGAGTGTTCATGGTCTACAAGTTCGAGGACTTAACTCAGAGAGTTACATCCAACTACACCAAGCTTACAGCAGAGACTTCATCCCAGTAGACAAGTCTTATGTCCCAACAAAATAAACTGCATTGATGTGGCCTCATCTCAGAAGCTTGGCAGATAAGTTACCACCCGTTCAAGACTGTGATGTAGGGCTTCTCATTGGATACGACTGTCCAGCTGCCCTAGCTCCACTAGAAGTCATAACAGGTGACAAAAACCAACCCTTTGCACAAAGATCAGAACTAGGATGGAGTATAATAGGCTCATCAAACCCCCACCTAGACAGACAAGGAAGTCAACGCTTTGTGCATCGGATCACAGTAAAGGAGCTAGCAATCCCATCGACTATTGACATTTTAAAGGTCTTAGAATCAGATTTCATGGAGAGAAGCTATGAAGATAAATATGTGTCTCAAGAATATGTTAATTTTATACAGTTTCTCAGCAACAACATCACACAGAAAGATGATGGGCATTACGAAATGCCTCTCCCTTTCAAAGGCAGCAGTCTGCCTAATCTACCAAACAATAAAAGACTAGCCCAAGTTCGCCTGCAGTGTCTGAAGAGGAAATTATAGGCCAACAAACAATACTACGTGCAATACAAAACATTCATGGAAGAAACCATAAATAAGGGTGATGCAGAGCCTGCCCCTTCAACATCTGAGGGAGAAACAGAGTGGTATCTTTCACATTATGGCATCTACCATCCCAGGAAGCCAGATAAGCTAAGAGTTGTTTTTGACTGTTCAGCCAAATTCCATGGTGTTTCGCTTAATGACACACTGCTTACTGGGCCTGATTTAATCAATCCTTTGTTAGGAGTGCTATGTCGCTTCAGGAAAGAGACCATAGCAATAATTTGTGACATAGAATGTTTTACCAATTTACTGTCACTCCTGAATCCAGAAATTATCTTAAATTCCTCTGGTGGAAAGGAGGAGATTTGGAGAAAGAACCACAGGAGTATAGGATGGCAGTTCATCTCTTTGGCGCTGCTTCATCTCCAGGATGTGCCAATTTTGGGCTAAAGCATCTAGGACAGCAGCACAAGACTAACTATCCTCAAGCAGCCACATTTATTGAGAAAAACTTTTATGTGGATGATGGCTTAATTAGTGTCCCATCAGTAGAAGAAGCCAAGAAACTGATCATTGTGTCACAAGAGTTGTGTAAAAAGGGAGGCTTACGGCTTCACAAATTCAACTCAAACATGGAAGCTGCTCTCGCCTGCTTGGGTCCCTCAGAAGTAGCAACGGCCATCGAGCCCCATGATTTGGATCCAGCCTCATCGGAGTGTGCACTTGGCATTCAATGGTTAATAAAAAATGACACCTTCATTTTTAACATCGGTTTAAAGGATCAACCTTCTACCCGTCGCAGCTGCTTGTCAATCATTGCTTCACTTTATGATCCTCTTGGATTCATTGCTCCATTCACCCTTAGTGGAAAACTTATTCTTCAAGAGCTTTGTCAAAGAGGGGTAGGGTGGCATGATCCTCTACCAGAAGATATAAAGCCATGGTGGGAGAAATGGATAAATGATCTGCAAAGACTGAAAGAGATCTCAATTCCGAGATGTTATCATCCCGCTGACTTCCACAATGTTGTCCGAGTAGAGCTGCACCATTTTTCAGATGCCAGTTGTGTAGGACATGGTGCATGTTCTTACCTGAGGTTCATAAATGACAAGGGTGAAGTCCACTGCAGTCTTGTGATAGCGAAGGCAAGAGTTGCTCCTTCAAAGATCACAAGTATCCCAAGATTAGAACTTGCAGCAGCAGTGGTTTCTACAAAAGTCAGTGTTATGCTAAGATGTGAACTTGATATGAAGATAGATCAAGAATTTTTCTGGACTGACTCACAAGTTGTACTAGGGTACACAATTCAGGTGCTTGTAACTGAAGTCAAAAGCAGTAATGACATCCTCGAACGCCTGAATCGGTTTTCTTCTTGGACAACGCTTCTCAGGGTGATTTCAAGAATCAAGAGACTAGGCTCAAAGCAACAACATAGTGAACATGTGACTGTTGAGGAAGTACAAAGAGCAGCTGAAACTGTGATTAAGATTGTTCAACAACAAAACTTCCCAAATGAGGTAAAGATACTAGAAGGTGAAAAGAACATTCCAAACACCAGCACCCTTTGTAGTCTTGATCCTATCTGGTCTGAAGGGCTTCTCCGTGTCAGTGGGAGATTGAAGCAGTCATCTCTCTGTTTTACAGTCAAACACCCAGTAATACTACCCAACAACAGTCATATTACTAAGCTGATTGTGTCACACTACCATGCTAAGACATGCCATCAGGGTCGAGGCCAGACACAAATGGAGCTTAGGATCAATGGATTCTGGGTCATTGGTGGGAGCAAGTTGGTAGCCAAGCTGATACACGATTGTGTGTTTTGCAGAAAACTTAGGCGGCCGATGGAAAAGCAGAGAATGGCTGACCTTCCTAAAGAACGTGTTGAATCCTCTGCACCCTTCACATATAGTGGCATGGACTGTTTTGGCCCTTTCATTGTAAAGAAAGCCCGCAAAGAGTACAAAAGATATGGCCAAATTTTTACATGTACTACTAGAGCTACTACTCTACTCTACTCTAATCTAGAGCTGTCCATATCGAAATGCTTGAAGATTTGTCATCTGACTCATTCATAAATGCACTGAGATGCTTTATTAGCATTAGAGGAGCTGTACGACAACTGCACTTTGATCAAGGCACTAATTTTGTTGGTGCCAGGAACGAATTCACACAAGCACTGAAACAATGTGACACTAAGTTACTAGAAGTTTTCTTGGCGGATAAACAGTGTGAATTTGTTTTCAATTCCCCCTCTGCCAGTCATGCAGGTGGTGTATGGGAAAGGCAAATCAGAACCATCAGAAATGTATTGAATGCTACCTTCGCACAGTGCTCAGGCCGACTTGATGATGCATCCCTCAGGAATTGTTATATGAAGCCATGGCTATTATCAATAGCCACCCATTAACAGTGGATGGAATCAATGATCCTCAAGCATTGGAGCCCATAACACCAAACCATCTCATTATGATGAAATCTAAGGTTGCTCTCCCTCCCCCTGGAGTGTTTGTCAAAGAGGACCTATATGCCACAAAGAGGTGGAGGAGATTGCAGCATCTCATTGAACAATTCTGGAGTCGCTGGAAAAAGGAATATTTGATGAACATTTCCATGAGACAGAAATGGCACTCAGCTCAACGCAATCTCAAGAAGGAGGGCATTGTCATTATCAAAGACGATAACCTTCCAAGAAATCAGTGGCAACTAGGACGAGTGGTTGACACTGTTCAAGGCAGTGATGGATTGGTCCGTCGAGCCAAAGTTCAAGTCGGTGAACAAAAGTCAAATTCTTCTTCTAAACCTTCAATTATTGAGAGGCCAATTCAGAATTTAGTTCTTATGGAAAATTGATGAGAAAAGATGAACAACGTTTGTACAGTTTATTTATTTCATGGTAATTTTATGCAACCATATTTAGTCTACATTATTTAGTAGAGTCAAAAAATCCTGTTCAATTCATTTACTCTTTATGCATTACTTTGTTCATTCATTGTAACAAGATTTGGTGGGAGTGTAAATAACTACTAAATTTGAAAATTCTCCTTGTTCATTGGTCCAACAGTGACTCCTAGTGGTTAATTTATGCTTTCATGTTAAAGAACGGTAGATTTCTTCCTTGTTTATTCTGTGGTTACCTAGCAACACCCTGCGAGATGAGACGTTAGATTATAAAGAAACCTGGAGAAAATCTTTAAAATAGCGCCCTCGGAAAGCAGAATGAGGTATAAATATATGTAATTGTGATTTGTAATAAGAAATGTTATAGGTTTATTTAAGAAACAGTAGAATGTTGTGGTTTATAAACGAAACTATATATTAACGAGTTAAAGGACATAACGTATTTTTTTGTGTATAACTGAATATTGATATGTTGATTTTATACAAGAGCTGAGTATGTCCAACGGTTCTGTATTCTTTTGTTTTATGCTACAGTTTTCACGGTGTCAATGGAAAGAAAGGTTGAGATTAAATTGCACTCGTTTGAAACTCCCTGCGTCTGGCTGTTCAATCCGAGAGGCCGCTACAGTAAATATTGTGCTAATTATCAGTATTGAACCAAACAAAGCAAGGCAGATGCAAGCCTTTAAAATTGTGACTCTTTTTATGGATCAAATAGACTCAAATATTGTAACAGCAGCTGCGCGGAGGGGCCCAAACAAATTTTTTGTCAGGGGGCCCAAGATTCCTGGCATCGCCCCTGTCCATATGTGATCGACTTTGTCATTGTTTCGTCGGATCTGTGGCCACATGCCTTGGAAACTCGGGTGAAGAGAGGAACGGAGCTGTCCACTGACCACTACCTGGTGGTGAGTTGGCTCTGGTGGTCGGGGAGGATGCTGGTCAGACCTGGCAGGCCCAAACGTGTTGTGAGGGTCTGCTGGAAACGTCTGGCAGAGTCCGCTGTGAGACTGAGCTTTAACTCCCATCTCCAGCAGAACTTTGAACACATTCCGGAGAAGGTGGGGGACATTGAGGCCCCGTTTACACGACAACGATTTCGGGGGAAAACGGAAGAGTTTTGTTGTGTTTGTAGTGCGCATTTACACGAAACCACCGAATGTTTTCTCTGACAAC